CTGACATACACCTTTGAATACTGCCACGCTCAACACCTCTTCCCCGCATGAAATACACGCTCTGCCCAACCCCCGGAAGCCGGGTCGCGGTCATCGGCAACAACCACCATTAGAGCCTACCGCGCGTGGATCTACCCCAGCAAAGGACTTTCTTGTGCCCAGGACCACGCGGTTCCACCACAGTTTGTGCCGGGTGGAAAATTCACAATCTATCCAGATGGGGTAACGTGATTGGTCCAATCAGATCAGCCGCTTTGATCGGAACTGCCAGGATTCTTTTTTTTTTTCTAATGTAAGTAAGGGAAGGATTCGGACTTGTAAGGACTTTGACAAGTCGGCGTCTGCACGGACTTGCGTACTGAACACTACTGAGCCTTTTTTTGGTCGCTGTGTGTTTTTTTTTTTCTTGGCGTGTTAAGGGAGCCGGCGCTGTTCAGCTTCCTTTGTATTTTACTCTGAAATATTTTGCACAATATTTGTGTGTTTTGTACGTTTTTATCGCCCAGTTTGTACCTTTTTTTTTGATCTGTCGCCATGGCACGCATCAACCGGCCAGCTCCAGTGGAAGTCTGCTATAAAAATATGCGTTTTCTTATCACCCACAATCCCACCAACGCCACAATGAACACCTTCATCGAGGTGAGTGCATCAAAGTAAATGTATTTTATTTATTTTTTTAACCATGAAAATGTCATGAAATGTGGGACTTGGGGGACCAGAAATTCAATATTCGGTTTATTGTATACAATAATTCTTGTTGGGGGTACTGCTATCAGTATCGGTGCCGATGCCGAGTATTTGGGCGAGCACTCGTGATGCCTAGCCCGATACCTGAGCTTCCGGTATCAGGAAGCCAGGCAGCGAGTCATTACACGGCGCCCGGCTTCCTGATTAGCCGGGCAGCCGGCACCATGCTCCCTCGTCACTTGTGACGGAGCATGGAGGCGGCTTTCTGCCCAATCAGGAAGCCGGGCGCCGTGTAATGACGTGGTACCCGGCTCCCTGATTGGCTGGGAAGCCGGCTCCATGCGTCTTAAGAAACGAGGGAGCTTCCCGGGCCAATCAGAGCGCGGCACCCGGCTTCCTGATTGGCCAGCTTCCAGTCATTACACACTGCCCGGTTTCCTGACTGGTCAGAAAGCTGGCAAATCGGGAATCCGGGCGCCATCTAAAGATGCCGCGCCCGGCTCTCTGATTGGCCCGGAAGCCGGCTTCATGCTTTTTCATCACCTCGTGAGGAGAGAGCATGGAGCCGGTTTCCCGTCAAATCAGGGAGGATTCCGTCCAATACACAGCGCCCCGGCTTCCTGATTGGCCAGAAAGCCGACTCCATGCTTCTCATCTAGTGACGAGAAGCATGGGGACTGCTTCCCTGCTAATCGGGAAGCCGGGTGGTAAATCATTACACGCCGCCTGGCTTTCTTAATGGGACTTCCGGTCTCGGTTTTCGGTATCGGCGAGTACCGAAACAAAAATATCGGTACTCGCTACCAAAAAAACGGTATCTATGCATCCCTAATGCTGGTAATAAAGTGGCAGCGGCAATGATTCCAGGAGAAGGATACTCCTCATTTTCCACAAAGAGAAAAGATACATTGTAAGCTAACATTGATTCTCATTACAATGGCACATGGAAGTGGGGGTGGGGAGAAGATATACTAGTGTATTCGGCATTTTGTCCCTGAAGTTGATGTGTTGGAAGCAGAAGAAATGGACTAGTGTAATGATTTGAGGGACTTTGACAAGGACCAAATTGTGATGTGTAGACGACTGGGTCAGAGCAACTCCAAAATTGCAGCTCTTGTGGGATGTTCCCGGTCTGCAGTGATCACGACCTACCAAAGGTGGTCCAAGGAAGTAAAACGGTGAACTGGTGACAGGGTCATGGGGCGGCCAAGGCTCATTGATGCGCATGGGGAGGGAAGGCTGGCCCGTGTAGTCCGATCCAATAGAGCCACTGTAGATCAGATTGTTGGAAAAGTAAATGTTGGTTCTGATAGAAAGGTGTCTGAACACACAGAGCATCGCAGTTTGTTGTGTATGGGGTAGCGTAGCTACACACCAGTCAGGGTGCCCATGCTGACCCATGTCCACCACCAAACAATGGGCACGTGAGCATCAGATCTGGACCACGGAGCAATGGAAGAAGGTGGCCTGGTCTGATGAATGACGTTTTCTTTTACTTCATGTGGATGGTCGGGTGCGTGTGTGTCACTTACCTGGGGAAGAGATGGCACCAGGATGCACTATGTGAAGAAGACAAGCCGGCGGAGGCAGTGTGATGCTTTGGCCAATGTTCTGCTGGGAAACCTCGGGTCCTGCCATTCATGTGGATGTTACTTTGACACGTACCACCCACCTAAACATTGTCACTGACCAAGTACACCCCTTCATGGAAACGGTATTCCCTGATAGCAGTGGCCTCGTTCAGCAGGATAATGCGCCCTGCCACACTGCAAAAAATGGTTCAATAATGGTTTGAGGTGTTGACTTGGCCTCCAAATTGGACAGATTTCAGCCCAATTGATCATCTGTTGGCAGGGCCAGATTTACTCTCTGCTGCCCCAAGGCCAGGTTCCTCAATGCGCCCCCCCTCCCCTAACCGCCAAACCCCAATAGAGAATGGCAGGCCTGCAGGCTGCATACAAGTGATCTGGGCGACATTGCTGAGATCACTTGTACAAAACAAGCGGCGGCTTCCACGCTGTACATTTAGCTCTGCTTGCTCAAAGCCGGGCTAAATGTAGAAAACAACTGCCCATCCCGCATCCACAACTGCATGTCCCAGGCGTCTGGAGATGGGAATTCCACACCCCTGCTGCCCCGAGGCTGGGCCTTGGTTGGCCTTGTGGGAAATCTGGCCCTGTGGGATGTGCTGGAAAAACAAGTCTGATTCATGGAGGCCGATCACCTCACAACTTATAGGACTTGTCAGCCCTGCCTGCTGGACTACAGAGCTCATCCTGTCCTCACCCCTCTCTGTCCTTCTCCAGATGCAAACGTTGTTTTTATTCTCAGCAAATCAGTACTGCTGCCATGACTCCCGGGAGCCTCCCCGTACACTGTAGGGAAAGATCTCTTGGGATATGTAGCTCTGGAGGCGTGTGTGCATTAATAAGAACCGAGCTCCCAGCAGCTGCCCGTGCATGATATTTACAACCCTGCCGATGACGTTGTAGGGAGTCCTTAAAGATGTTTCTCATTAAAAGAATTAATAATGATGCCTGAACATGAACGGGGGGGGGTTGGGGGTACATTTTCAATGAATGCCCGGGCATATAAAATGCCTTTTATGATTTGTATCCCTTCTATTAGAATTGATAGACTGAGCTCTGTCCCTGGGAAGTCCGCCTTGTACGGGGACAGAGAGACCCGCGGGGTCCCAGCCAGCTCGGAGATATCCAGTGTGTGCCGCGCTGTGTCTCTGGCTCTCCAGCCGGGCACTTGGCAGCGGGTCGGATCGGCTTTTTGCTATTTTTGGGAAGTCTGCGTAGACTGGCATTGGCCAAAATCCCCGAGCGCTGTTTACAGGGGTGGAACCGATCCAAACTCCGCTCTCCGCTTTATTGGATGTTTGGGAACTTCAACCAAACTAAAAATAAATACACTGGATTTGGATGGTGTGACTAGTCGGAGTGATCATCCGGCCGCGGCCACATTTTATATAATTCATCTTGTACTGTTCACATCAATTCCTCGGGGCAAGAGAGGTCAGGGGTCTGAGGAGCTGAATACACCCCCGGGTCACTGTTATGACTGTTATATATCCTCTGGATGACTCTGCTCCTTCCTCTATAACTCTCCTCTCCTGATATACTCTGCTCTGCTGGATGACTCTGCTCCGTCCTCTATAACTCTCCTCTCCTGAAATACTCTGCTCTGCTGGAGGACTCTGCTCCTTCCTCTATAACTCTCCTCTCCTGAAATACTCTGCACTGCTGGAGGACTCTGCTCCTTCCTCTATATAACTCTCCTCTCCTGGCTATACTCTGCTCTTCTGTTCCTCCCTAGATGCAGTATGGTGAGTGAGTATTGCATTGTCACCCTGTGAACAGGAACTTTGTTGCTGGCAGGATCACAAGGAGGGCTTGGGGCGGGGGAGCCTGAAAAAAGACAGCAGTGCCTTAGCTGATCTCACACTGCAGATATACAGCTATGAGGCTACAGAACAGGGAGTGCCTCGGCACAGGAAGGACTCTGGTATCAGCGTTGCTGAGGCACAGGAAGAGCACTGATATGGGGGAGTGCTTAGACACAGGAAGCAGTCTGATATGGGGAGTGCCTAGACACATGAAGTGCTCTGATAAGGGGGAGTGCCTAGACACAGGAAGGAGTCTGATATGGGGAGTTCCTAGACACAGGAAGGAGTCTGATATGGGGAGTGCCTAGGCACAGGAAGGACTCTGATATGGGGAGTGCCTAGGCACAGGAAGGACTCTGATATGGGGAGTGCCTAGGCACAGGCAGTACTCTGATATGGGGAGTGCCTAGGCACAGGAAGGACTCTGATATGGGGAGTGCCTAGGCACAGGAATGGGGGTCTGATATGGGGAGTGCCTAGACTCAGGAATGGGGGTCTGATATGGGGAGTGCCTAGACTCAGGAATGGGGGTCTGATATGGGGAGTGCCTAGACACAGGAATGGGGGTCTGATATGGGGAGTGCCTAGACACAGGAATGGGGCTCTGATATGGGGAGTGCCTAGACACAGGAAGAGCTCTGTCTGATATTGGGAGTGCCTAGACACAGGAATGGGGCTCTGATATTGGGAGTGCCTGGGCACAGGAATGGGGCTCTGATATTGGGAGTGCCTGGGCACAGGAAGGGCTCTGATATTGGGAGTGCCTGGGCACAGGAATGGGGCTCTGATATTGGGAGTGCCTGGGCACAGGAATGGGGCTCTGATATTGGGAGTGCCTGGGCACAGGAATGGGGCTCTGATATGGGGAGTGCCTGGGCACAGGAAAGGCTCTGATATGGGGAGTGCCTGGGCACAGGAAGGGCTCTGATATGGGGAGTGCCTGGGCACAGGAAGGGCTCTGATATGGGGAGTGCCTGGACACAGGAATGGGGCTCTGATATGGGGAGTGCCTGGGCACAGGAAGGGCTCTGATATGGGGAGTGCCTGGGCACAGGAATGGGGGACTGATATGGGGAGTGCCTGGGCACAGGAAGGGCTCTGATATGGGGAGTGCCTAGGCACAGGAAGGGCTCTGATATGGGGAGTGCCCAGGCACAGGAAGTGCTCTGATATGGGGAGTGCCCAGGCACAGGAAGTGCTCTGATATGGGGAGTGCCCAGGCACAGGAAGTGCTCTGCTATTTTCCAGGAAGAATAAAAGACCAACCAGATACCTTTTGGGTGCTACTTATGCACAACTAGATGTTCCCTGCACCAGCAGAGCGTCACTTTCGGAGTCCCCGTCCCCTTTAATTCCCCTTTACCGGGAAGGATAAGAAAAGAACACTTTGCATACGTTTTTCCTTCATGTAAATTTGTGGGCGGCGACGTTCCTCTCTCCTCCGCTTGCTTTGCACTCCGCCTGTTCTGCATAATCCCCGGCATATGTTTGAGGGTCAGCAGATGATGATCCTTTTTTTTGTGCTATTTTCCCGCTATAATTCCTCCTTTTTTTTTTT